TGCAGGCTCGGGTCCTCGCGGAGGAGCATGGCGAGGGACTCGTGGATGCGCTTCTCCTCGCTGAGGCTGTGGGGCTCGACGCTGGCGAAGAACACGGGCGGAGGGACCTTGATGGGTCGGAGTTGAAGAGTGTCGAGCGGTTCCGGGGGTGTCTGTCGGTTGGTGGCGTAGGAGACCAGCGTGTCGCCCGTCCGGGCGTGTTTGAGTCCCACGACCACGCCGATGTGGCCCTCGGGGATGGAGTCGACCTCGACGGCGTCGTTGGCGTACATCTTCAGCAGGCGGGGAGCCCGCTCGGTGACCTTCAGGTTGGTGTTGTACAGCGCGCAGCTGCGATCGAGTCGTCCCGAGTAGACACGCACGTAGACCAGCACTCCGCGCTTGGCGTCGTTGACCACCTTGAAGGCTAGGGCACAGCCTTGGAGCTTCTCGATGGCGTTCCGGGATTCGGTCTGCACGACCGACTTCTTCTTCTTCGCCTGGCCCTTGGCCGAGGAGGCCGCCACCTTCTGTTCCACGATGAGATCGCCGGACAGCAAGCGTCGCAGGCCGCCCGTGACGCCCCCAATGCTGACTTCGGGATCCGGGGTCTCGACCGGACTGGGCAGGAGATTCACGACGGCGTCGAGGAGAGGTTGAACACCGACATTGCGGAAACTGGCGCCGGCGAACACGGGGATGATCTTCCTGCCCTGCTCCTGGAGAAGGCATCGACGCAAGCTTTGCAGGATCTCGTTGGCAGGCACAGCAAGGTGATCTTCATCGTGCTCGAAGAATTGCTCGACCATGAGCTCATCGTACTCACTGAGCAGCTCGACGAGAGCAGTCCTTGCCCGTTTGAGTTCCTGAGCCAGCCGACCCTCCTCGGCCTCCAGCTGCTGCAGGTTGAGCATCTTGACTGACTTGCCATCTCCGTCCTCCCACCGGAGACCTTGAAGATTGATCACATCAGCCACACCGACAAAACGACCGTCCCCGCCTTCGAACCACGGAATCTGACAGACAGCCGGCCACCCTGCCAGCCGGGATGCGACCTCCCGGACCGTCCGGCCGAACGCTGCGCCATCTCGATCTAGCTTGTTGATGTAGACGATCCTGGGAATGCGGTAGGTGCTGGCTTGGTGCCAGACCTTCTCCGTTTGAGCCTCAACACCGGCCACACCATCGAGGATACACACTGCGCCGTCCAAGATGCGCAGGGAGCGCAGAACTTCGAATGTGAAGTCGGCATGCCCTGGCGTGTCAATCAGATTTACAATGTGTGAATGAGCAGAGCGAGGGGCTTGCAGGCCCGACTGGTTCGCCTCCCCGGCTGCTGTTTGGGGTGGCCAGTGGAAAGTGATAGCCGCAGACTGAATGGTGATTCCACGCGCCCGCTCAGCGGGCAGAAAGTCGGTCACCGTGGAGCCCTCATCCACGTCTCCAATTCTTCGGGTGAAGCCACTGTAGTAGAGCATGCGCTCTGTGGTCGTGGTCTTGCCCGCATCGATGTGGGCAATGATACCGATATTTCTCGTTCGGTCAAGATTATCCTCTTGCCTTCGCAAGGCAGAGCTTGAGAATTTCTGGAGCTGAGGAAAACATGATTTCCGGGTGCATTGCATCACATGGTTTCCCAAGCGACCGGTCAATGCTTGCCCCTGTTGTAGAGCAATTGGCCGCGCCGCCGGGTGAGAGGCGCGCAACAGAAGTGCTGCAACCATCAGGGACGGTGCTTGCCCACAGAGCGCTTGTCAATCTGAGTTGAATTATAGACTGTGGACCATGACTCTGGAGAAAGAAAGGGCCAAGCAAGGTGCTCAGTCTGAGCTGTTTTGGACCCACAATGGCTAAGAGGAAGGACAATGTAGAGGTCAAAGCAATTAATTGATCAAGAAGTAAAAGGAAATAATGGATAAGTTAAAGTATTGAAGCCTCGGAGCGGATCCAGTGACCCGTTGATGCCTGGTTGATCAGGCCGACTAGTTACGTACTGTCTGTCACATCCTCAATCAATCAATCACTTCCCCATCGCTTCCTCCGTTGTCCCCTTCTTCCCCCTCCACATCTATCTGACACAATTGCCCTCTCCAACTCCTGTTATCCACCCCCCCAACTCTCTCCAGTACCCCTGGAGTCTTCACTGGTATGTTGCATTAGTCAATCGCAGGTTCACATTCCATAGTCTAGTATGATGCTGATTGATGTCTGCCTGGCTCACAGCGCGGTGTAGACGTTGTCGCATCAATTCCTCCCCTCCCCTCCCCTCAGACAGCCACGATGGACTACTCCGCCATCTCGCACGATCCCGACCATCCTGCAGGCACCTCGCCCTGGGCCTCGCCCCGACCAACGCAAACTACTTTTGCTGCGACGAGCGATATCCCCTCGTCTCCATTACCCCCGCAAGAGCATTCCCCCTACGGCGCCGATAGGGAGCCGCAGCCTGCCGACGGGTCGGGCGCCAGAGAAGATGGATTCGGCTCCCAGAACAACTTGTCTGGCCAACTGCAAAACACCCACCTTGGTGGTCCCAATGCTGGAGAGCAACCGTCGCATGGTGCCCAACAGCAACAGCCCCAGGCTCAGCACCCCCGATCCCAGATCCCGACTCGTTACCAAACCGGACCCAGACAGAATGCCAGGCCCCCTGCCCCGGCCTATAGAATACAGGCGAAGATTACTGGGCTAGAGCGAACTGGCAAGAAGGATCCTATCCTGCGCTTCGATGTCCACGTGAGTTGGTCCTTGGTTCCGCCACCTGCGCATACTGACCACAACTTCTAGACCAATGTCCCCAAATTTAGAACCACCCAGTACCGTGATGTTCGACGCACCCATAGCGAGTTTGTGAAGCTCGCCGATCACCTTATCTCCGCCAATCCCGAGACCTTCGTACCCGCCGTACCATCCCCATTGACCCCGGCCGGGGCCGGAACCGAAGAAGATGAAATTCGGGTTAAAGCCTCGATGCAGCGGTGGCTGAATGTGGTTCTGAGCAATGAGGTATTGATTCACGACGACGAAGTGATCCTGTTTGTGGAGAGTGATTTTGGGTACAGTCCTGTGGTGCGCATGAAACAACCCGCCACCGGTGTCCGGAGGAAGGTCTTGAAGCAATTCGCGCCCCCTCCGGACGACACCCCGGAACTACAGAATGCCCGACCTACTGTCAAAATGTTCTATCTGGGTGCTATGGATGCCAGCCACAAGGTTGATCGCGTGGTTAAGGGTCGTAGAGGTGTGTTTCAAGGATATGCAATTCCGAAGAATGCCCAGTGCTAATTGATGTGCAGGTTTGGGTCTTGCTGAATCCGACTTCGGCGTCAAGCTGGGCCAGATGCACGTGCAGGAGACGCACCCGGGACTAGCCAACGCTTATCGAAAGCTGGGAAAGATCATTCAGACGGTCGGAGATTTCCATGCTGTTCAGGCGACCGCGGAAGCTACCACCCTTGGAGATCCCCTTAGCTACCATTCCTCGGACGCCTTTATTGTCAAAGAAACTCTTACGAACCGTCATATCCTGCTGCGAGAGTTGATTCAAGCTCAACAAGCTACTCGCAGCAAACGTGCTGCCGCCGACCGGCTCAAGGTCAGCTCCTCTGTGCGCCCCGACAAAGTTGATGAGGCTATCAACGCGTTGGATGAGGCGCAGAGCCACGAGGACTTCTTGACCAAGAGAACTCAGCGCGTCACGTCGAATCTGCTGCTGGAGAAACAGCGCTGGTTTGAGCGAACATCCAGTGACCTGCTCGCTAGCTTGCGCGAGTATACTCTACGTCAAATTGAATCGGAGCGCCGCACCCTGGCCACCCTCGAGAGTGTTCGACCCGATATTCGGGCAATTGATGCCTCTGGAGGACTAAGTCGTCTGGGCCGTGAATCTCATCCTGCTGCCCGACGATCGAATTTGGGCTCGAGCCAAGGCCCCAAGGGCGACGCATGGAGCGGAATCCCTCGTCGCAGCGATAGTCTTGGACGTAGCATGAGCGGCAGCTTTGTTGCACCTCCCCTGGATGATGACGAAGAAACGAATGGCAGTGGAAGTGCCAAGGGTCGATTGCGCTCGGCCAGCGGGGTGAGTTCGATCGCTGAGGAGGAGGACGAGGACCGGTTGGACGCGCGCAATGCGGCGAGTCGCCTAGCCACGAGTACCTTTTAGTAACTCATTGTAAATTATGGGCATATTTGTATGCGAGATTCCCCTTTGACCATGATTTTCTTCTGTTCCTGTCCTCTGTTGCAGCATGTTTGTATGATGATTTGAGTATGCAACTATTGTCCCCCCCCCTTCTTTCATGTTTCTGTGAATTCTGTGCAAATTTTCAATCGGTTATTCTGCTGTGGTTCTCGAAGTCTCCATGTCTGCCCGCATTGAACCCATTGAGTTTGCAACGATTGTTGTTTTCTTTCCCCTGTCAAAGTCACGTCAATCAGCCCCGCCTTTGCATCGGCTACAACGTCATTCAGGAGAGGGGCAAATCTCCCTCATGGTCTCCTGACAGTAGGAATGGCAGTGGAAACTGGAAGATGAGCTGCTGTCACACAGCTCAAGTTGGTCGAGAAGGTGGTCGCGCCGAAGAGGAAGCACTCAATACTATGTACAATGGAACAATGGGCCCAGGAACGTTCTTTTGAGTTCTTCCCACCCCATTCCCACCCCCACTCTTGCTGAGGCGCTGATTGCGCTGATTGCGCTGTACGTAGTAACTAACTCTGACCTCAAACCTCATCCACTCTTGATTTCCAAGCATCGGAACTCCATAGACTTCCGCACTGCCCGCGGAGCTTAAGCTGTAATTGGGGTAAATTTTGTCAGTCCGTCCGTCTGTCTGCTGTATTTCCCCTCCACTCCCCCCCACCTACTCATGATATAAAGTAATCCTCCTCCTCCCCGTCCTCACGATCTCTTAATCTTCCTTTCACTGTCTTCATTCAACGAAACGAGAAGAAACTCGCATCATACCACTAGCACAGAACACAATCAAAAGCACAACCTTCTTTTACTGAAGCACAACATGGCTCCCATCAAGGCTTTCGTGTAGGTCTTCCCACTCTCTTCCTTACGCATAATAGCCTCTGACCAGCTGATTGCCTTCCACAGTACTGGCGCCACCGGTTACATTGGTGGAGACGTCTTTTACAATGTCCACCAGGCACATCCTGACTGGGAATACGCGGTGTTGGTTCGCAGCAAGGAGAAGGCAGAGAAGCTCTCCAGCGAATATCCCAAGGTTCGCGTCGTGTTGGGAGACCTAGATTCCGCGGATATCATCGAGGAGGAGGTCAAGAAAGCCGACATTGTTTTCCGTACGTCCCCCTCCGTGCAGCCCTTCTCCCAAATTACGAACTGACTTGCTTGGGCCAGACACTGCCGACTGCGACCACGTTGCGTCTGCTGAGGCCATCGCCAAGGGTGCTACCCACCACACCCCGGAGCGCCCCTTGTGGTGGATTCACACCTCTGGAACCGGTATCCTAACAGTCGAGGACTTCCGTGCCAACACCTGGGGTCGGTACCGCGAAAAGGAGCACGACGACTGGGATGGCGTGGATGAGCTCCTCAACCTGCCTTCTGACTCTCTTCACCGCAATGTCGATGAGATTGTCATTGCCGCTGGCAAGCGCGACCCCAACAGCGTCAAGATTGCCATCGTCTGCCCGCCTACAATCTACGGCCCTGGCCGTGGTCCCGGCAACCAGAAGAGTGTGCAGGCCTACTGGCTGGCATCTGCTGTCTTGAAGCGGAAGAAGGGCTTCTTGGTGAACGAGGGCAAGAACATCTGGCACCAGATCCACGTGCAAGACCTGAGCGACCTGTACCGGCTGTTGGGAGACGCTGCTGCTGCGGGTGGCGGCAATGCCACCTGGAACGACAAGGGTTACTACCTGGCTGAGAATGGCACCTTCGTCTGGGGAGACATCTCGCGGGAGGTGGCCAAGGTCGCTTATGAGAAGAAGCTGATCTCGTCTCCTGACGTGGAGTCCATCTCCGATGACCAGGTGAAGGAATTGAACCAGTTCGGTCTCTATGCCTGGGGCAGCAACTCCCGTGGCCACTCTTACAGAGGCAGGAAGCTGCTCGGATGGTCTCCTCACCGGCCTAGCCTGAAGGAGCTTATTCCTGAAATCGTCGACATTGAGGCCAAGGCGTTGGGCTTGCTGTAAATCGCAAACCAGAGATTGTCGTGTAAAATGAGGCTAATTTGATGAATGAAATGACTATCCCTCTCCAGACCCGTTTGTTGTAGGTTCATATGTAAAGAACAATGTTTATGGTTCCATTAGAAGCACATGTTAGCAAAGTCAATTGAGGCGGAGCGCGGAATACGGTAAGCGATATAGACGCGCTACCCGCTCAGCCGCCGCTTTGTTCCATTGCGAACCCGTCCGATGCCATCACCTTCGCCGATCCAAGCAAACGGACCTTGAAACTTCTCCCCAGGTGTCCGCTTATCCCTTTTGAGCCCCCGCATGAGTCTTCCACAGCAGGTTGTCGCCCATCTCCCTATATGCAACAAACATTGACCTTTTAATTGCAACCATCCCAATTCTTAGCCCATTGAGGAAGCTGACCGTCTCCAATCTAGGTCCGCCGCATGCACTGCGACCTGTCCGGAACTCATTTGTTCTCTCCCTCAGCCCTCTAGCTTCGATCGGCCCTGTCATGGCTCCAGGTGCCGGAGGAAAGAGAAAAAGAGGCGATCGATCGTGGTCTGGCGATTCTGGGAACGACGGTTCACGACCATCCCCCCATCGACCAGGTAATCTCAATATGGCGCAACACAATCACGGCCCGCAGTCTCGCGACTACGACTCGCGTGGCCGCGGACGGAGGCCTCCCGGCCGGGGAAGAGGGGGTAATATGAATATGGGTCGACGTCCCAGTGGCGATAGCCAGAACTTCCCCGGTGGTCGGAGGGACACGGCCATGTCCCCGCCCAGCAGCGCGCCCGCGAAAGATGTGCCTGAATCAAATCAGATTAACGGAACTTCTGCGAATGCCGACCAGAACAAACCTCCTCCATCACCATCGCCTGTAATTCCATCGGCCCAGTCACAGCCGCAACCTCAGACGCAGACCCAACCGTCACCCGCACCAACGCCCGCTCCTGCGCCTCCAATGCAAGTATCAAGTGCTCCCGTGCAGCCTCCTCCCGGCCCACCACAACCGTACGACTACGAGTACGTTACACAATCAGTGATCGATCACTGGGCCGCCTCTGGTAGAAAGGAGATCGTGGAGAAGGGTATCCAAGCGAAAAACACGCAAGATGCGTCTGGTCTGGCGTCCGTATACCAGGAGCTTATCCGCTCAGCCCTGTACGGCCGACTACCACCAGACCACGCGGGCTCAGCAGTTAGAGACATCATTGGCGATGATGTTACTGTGGAGAACGTCGACATGAACGGGGAGCAATCGACTTCAAGCACCCTTGACACGCAATCTCTTTTTCTAGACACCCTGTCCATTCTTACCGATTCCGACACGTCAAGCAATGCCCTGAGACCGCTTGTTTACTCCACTGGCATCAACCCAGCTCTTATGCGCGTGCAGCTCGACACGCAACTCCTTCAATCGCTCGGACTCGTCCGCGAAACCTTTACGCGTATGGGCATTCGCAAGCAGACCAACCTCTTGTACCGACAGTCAAACTACAATCTTCTACGCGAGGAATCTGAAGGTTATTCTAAGCTTTTAACCGAACTTTTTACGACAAGTAACAATGAGCCTCCATCCAGTGAAGTGGTGGAAGACACCTTTGAAAAGGTGAAGGCGATGATCGGTGCTTTCGACATGGATGTTGGCCGTGTACTCGACGTCACTCTTGATGTCTTCGCAGCGGTCCTGGTGAAACAGTATCGCTTCTTCGTCAAACTCTTGCGAGCTAGTTCATGGTGGCCGAAGGAGGACAACTTCCGCAATATGGAAGGTGGAAACCGCGATTCTGGTCTTCCCAGGTGGGCTCTACCTGGATCGACTGGGTGGGCGACTACAGATGAAGAGCGAGCCGACATCATGGTTGCGAACGAACAGCGCGATCGCGACTTTTGGAACCGGGTGAGAGAGATTGGGATTCGGGCTTTCTTTGAGATTGGCCGACGACCTGTTACTCAGGAAGAGGTACAGCGGATACTTCCTGAAAGCAACAGTCTTTCTGAGGAAGAAAAGTCAATGCGAAAGTGGATCGAGGAGACAGGCACATTGCCCCCTAAAGGTAGTCGAGTGGCGGCTCAGCTTCTCGGTTTCAAGTTACGCTTCTACTCTTCCAAGGCTCGCTCAAAGTCAGACGTTCTTCCAGATAATCTCATCTACCTGGCAGCTCTGCTGATTAAAGTGGGCTTTATCTCCCTGCGCGACCTATATCCCCATCTTTGGAGACCAGATGACTCAATGGATACATTGAAGGAGGAAAAGCTCAAGGAGAAGGCTGAGAGAGAGAGAGCTGCACGTCCGGGAGGTGGTGTCAATGCTTTGATGATGGCCGGTGCCCTATCGGATGATACTCTCCCCATGCCTCGCATTCGTGAATCCGAGCCCCGGTCTGCCACTCCCGGAAAGGAGCAAGAAGCGGACAAGGCTGCCGCTGCGAAGGCAGAAGAGGAGGAGCTGCCGGAACCTTCAGACCAGAAGGTTATGCTATTGAAAAGTCTACTGGCAATCGGCGCCCTTCCAGAGTCTTTGTTCATCCTCAGCAAATTCCCTTGGCTCATGGACGTCTATCCGGAGCTCCCGGAATTCATTCATCGTATTCTTCATCACTGTCTTAGCAAGGTCTATGCTTCGTTGCGTCCCCTACCCTCTGCTGAGGGGCTCAACGAACAGAAGCAAATTCCGAGCCAAGATCAGGCAGGCCTGGCAAAGGGTCAGATTCGTCTGGCTCAAGCACCACCACGGCGCGTCCTGCGATGGGCACAGCTAGACAAGGAGGATACCAACGACGGAACCGACTATCGCTTCTACTGGGATGACTGGGCTGACAATGTTCCCATTTGCCAGTCGGTTGATGACGTTTTCGCGCTCTGCTCTTCATTCCTCAATCTGACAGGCCATAAGATTGGTCAGGACTCTACTCTGCTCTCGAAACTTGCGCGAATCGGGAAGGATAGTCTCAGCAAAGACGATTCCCCCGAAAATAGGGCGCGTTGGCAGGATCTTTGCAAGAGGCTTCTGGTTCCGTCCATCAGTCTTACAAAAGCTAACCCTGGAGTTGTGAATGAAGTCTTCGATCTCGTCAGCTTATTCTCCAGAGAGACCCGTTACAACATGTACGCGGAGTGGAACTCAGGACAAACGTCTCGACTACCGGACCTCAAAGCCGCTTTCGACCAAGCAAGAGCCGAGACGAAAGACGTCCTTAAGCGACTGAGCAAGACAAACATTCGTCCAATGGCTCGTGCCTTGGCCAAGATTGCTTATGCGAACCCTGGAATTGTCATCAATGTCGCCATCAACCAGATCGAATCTTACGAGAATCTCATCGAAGTTGTTGTGGAATGCGCACGCTACTTCACTTACCTTGGATATGATATTCTGACCTGGGCTCTGATCAGTTCTCTTGGCCAGAAGGGTCGAAGCCGTGTACAAGAAAGTGGTCTATTAACTAGTCGATGGTTGAACGCCTTGTCCACCTTTGCAGGGAGAACCTTCAAAAGATATTCTGTCATGGACCCGGCTCCTTTGCTGCAATACGTTGTTGAGCAGCTGCGGCAAGGTAATTCGACGGATCTCATCGTCTTGGAGCAATTGATCAGTTCCATGGCAGGCATTATCACAGACACCAATTTCAACGAGGCACAAATCCAGGCCATGGCCGGTGGCGAGGTCCTTCAGGCTCAAACTATCCTTCAGCTGCTAGACAAACGTCACGAATCCAAAATGACCTCGAGACGACTCATGAAATCTCTGACAGTATCTAAACTCGCTGGTCAACTACTTATTGCTATTGCTCAAGAGCGCCTGACATGTATCTTCAAGGAAACCGAGGGCGCTTCGGAGCTGAAGCTGCTGGGTAACATTTTTGACGAGATTCATCGCATTCTGACACAGTACCTCGATCTTCTTCGCAGCAATCTCACTGTCGAGGAGTTCGATTCTTTCGTCCCCGATTTGGCATCCCTCATCGGTGAATATGGCATTCAACCCGAGGTGGCCTTTTGGATTCGAAGGCCAAGTATCGCGCTGAAGATTGCGAATATTGAAAAGGAAGGGCAGGAAGAGGATGCGGGGGCAGCTCATCGGGTTTCAGAGGACAAGCGTCAGCTCAAGATTGAGGGTGATAAGATGGATACAGGAGAAGATGGAGAGACAACCCCTGCTGCAGTGGAGCCATCGGCGGAGCACACTATGGAAGTGGACCAGGAGAAGCCCGAGACTGCAGATAATGCACAGGGCAATGCTGAAACAACCACTGCCATCCCCGCACCCGCTGAAGCGCCCTCTCTCAATCGAGTCATTCAAGACCTCCACGATCAAATTAGGGCGGCCCTACCTACTGAAACCTGGGGTACTGTTGGTCTTCATTTCTACGTCACCTTCTGGCAACTGTCACTTTACGATGTTCACATTCCGCAAAAAGCTTACGAAGATGAAATCGATCGCCAGAAACGTAAAGTCATCGCGATCAATAATGACCGTTCCGACATCAGCATGGCCGGCACGCAAAGAAAGGAGCGTGAGAAGAAGCAACTGACGCAACTGCAGGATCGGATCCTAGAGGAGAACAAAGCTCATCTAAAGGCCTATGGTCAAACAAGGACGAAACTGCAAAAAGAGAAAGACCGATGGTTTGTGGGCATGCGCGGCAAGCACGATGCTCTCAACGTTGCTCTGTTGGAGCAGTGTTTCTTGCCTCGTTTGCTCTTATCATCCGTTGATGCGTTCTATTGTTTCAAGATGCTCAAGTTTCTTCATACAACGGGTGCCCCCAATTTCCGGACAGTCGGCCTCTTAGATCAACTTTTCAAGGAGCAACGGTTGACAGCCTTGATCTTTCAGTGCACATCCAAGGAGGCGGACAACCTTGGTCGATTCCTGAACGAGGTCATCCGCGATCTCAGTCGCTGGCATGCAGACAAGACGGTCTATGAGAAGGAAGCATTTGGAAACAAGAAAGATCTTCCAGGTTTCGCCATGAATGTTGACCTCGAGGGGAAACCCACCACTTTCCTCGATTATGAGGATTTCCGGCGACTGCTGTACAAATGGCACCGTCTTCTGGCGTCCGCATTGAAGACATGCTTGAACGGAGGAGAATACATGCACATTCGTAACGCTATCAGTGTGCTGAAGGCTGTCGTCCAGCATTTCCCTGCAGTGAACTGGATTGGTCGAGATATGCACAAAAGCATGAAAGAACTCAGCGAGACGGATGAACGTGATGATGTCAAGATCCCCGCTGCTTCGCTCATTGGTGATCTCAACCGACGCGAAAAGAAATGGTTACTTCCCCAGGCGTTCAACATCGCCCATCAACCGGCGCCGGGCAAGGCAAATGCACCCAACGCCACAGGAAAGCCCGATACCCCGCGGCCTCAATCTGGAACCCCGGCTTCTTTGAATGCTTCTGCGCCCGAATTCAAACCCACAGCGGCCAATGAGTAAGTCCCTACAAGTCAACGTTCCCATGGCGGCAGATGTCCTAACACCCGATTTCGTCATTGCAGAAACCAAGATGCTATAAACGCCGAGACTTTAACTCGTGTAGAGGTTGAAGATGGTGAGATTGAGGATGCGAAAATGGCCGATGCTCCTGTAAGGAATGCGGAAGAAAGTACCCAATCAGCTCAACAAGCCGAGACGTCTGATACCACCGTCGCTTCTCAGCCTAATGCCGCTGAAGCCCAACCTACCGAAACGACAGAACCGAGTGGCCGCGCTCAGGCATCGGACGATAAAGAGACACCTTCTTTTGCTGCAGCGCCATCTGAAGGCGAACCTGCTCCTCGCCCTCACGTTCCTGCATTGCCTGCCGAGTCGTCAGCTGCATCTAAAGGTCCTGAGCTTAGTAGGCCACCGCCTAATATCCCAAAGCGCCCCGACTTCGACAGAGCTCCATCCGGGACACCAAACACCCGTACTCAAACGCACCTGCCTAACCGGCGACTGCCCCCACGACCTGATCTCATGGAGACTCGACGTGATCGACATCAAGAATATCCCCGTGGCGGTCGTTTCGATGGGGAACACGAATTCAATCGACCGTTTGATCCAGCGATAGGCGATAGGAGGGCATATGGCCGCCTTGATCAGGACTTCCCCGGGCGACCTCCTGTAGACGAGCCGTTCCGTGGCCCTCCTCTTCGAGATGGACGCTCCCTCCGGGAGAACGACTGGCCAGATCGGGCTGGCCGGCTGCGTCCTGATGGCCGCGAAAGCCTTCCGACTCCCCGACCAGGTCCACCAACCCACCCTGATCGGCTTGATATGATCCATGATCACCCCGAGCGGACCGGGGACAATTTCCGTAGGGGCGATTCAGGGCGGCAGGAAAGAGACGAGCGGAGACCCCTACCAACACGAGCCTTGTCGCCTGCGCGCATGGAGCCACCGAATCGACCGGAACGATTTCCGTCTGATGATCGCCGATCTGCCAACTATTCTCAGCAGCAGCTGCGCGGCGAAGATATGCCGACAGGACCCCGCAGCGAACGGTTCGGTCGGCAACCCATCGACTCTGACCCTGGCATTGACATGACGGCCGGACGCTTAAGGCAGCCAGAGCCACCGGCCGATGTGCCCTTAGGTCCCCGCGGCAGGAACATGTCAGGACGAGGTGGACGCAATGTGTCCGGCACATCCCACACAGGTCCCTCAGGTTCTGGCCCTACCGCTGGAACTGCGCCTGACCGCCAGCCCCCTACAGGCCCTGGTCGTCAGAATGCTCGAGCTGCGCCTGATCAGCCCTCTTCAGCGGGGCCCTCATCGCCTACCGCCGAGAAGCTCGACACCAGTGGTATCCATCCTGACCGGCTGAAGGTTCTTCAACAACAGCCTAAAGACACTTCTTATGGGGGCAGTCCTCGCTCGCACCCTCCCCCATCTCCTGTACCTGGCGTTCCTCCGTCCGGTCCCAGGGGGACTGCTGGACCCCCTAGTGGGCCATCATCTGGCCCTCGCGGCCCACCTTCTGGGCCTGGCTTTGGTGGTGGAGGTGGCGAACGAGGCCGTGGCGACAAACGCTTTGCTGGGATCAACAACATGCTACAGCAGTCAGGAGGGCCGCCCGACCGCAATCCAGGACCTATGATTCGTGGTCGGGGTGCCAATCGACAATCGGCTGGGGCGAACGTGCCGTCGCCGCAGTCAACGCGCCCTCAGACTCCCGTAGGCTTGGAGGAGAGTGGTCGCCTTGGCCCCTCTTCCCAAGGGAGACCCGATCTGCTTGCTTCACGGCCATCAGGAGCATCATACCCGGAGGATGACAATCCTCGAAACCGATTTGGAAATGGACGAGGCGAGTTGATGGACGAGAGTGGTTCCGAGAGCCGGCGATCCATGCGGTATTCTTCGGGCGGTAGCTTTAACCAGGATCGCAACGATCGAGAGCGAGAACGTGAGCGTCGTGGCGGCGGCGGCGGCGGCGGCGAGGATCAAGGATCACGGAGTGGCTCTCGACGGGAGGAGCATCGGGATCGTACACGCGATTATGAGCGTGAGCGCAGCCGTCGCAGCGATGCTGGAGCGGGCACTCCGCGCGAAGAGCGCTTCGAGTCTCGTGAAGTTGCCCGGCGGGGTGCTGGAGCACGCGAGGACAATCGGCGACGACGTGACCGTGAAGAAGGATCGGACCTTGCCCCGAGCAGTCAAGACCACGAAGGACGTCTCAGGCCACCATCATCCCTTGGAGGGCAACCTCCACCTCCACCGCCACCACCTGCTGGCGCAGAGGAGGAGCCACGACGCTGGAGCGGAGGGCGCGAAGGGCGAGACCGGGACCGCGATCGCAGAGGTGATCGCCAGCGAGACCGCGAATATCATCGTGACGGTGCTGGCGGAGGGCCTCATCGTAAGCGCAATCGACCGGGAGACGACGGAACTCATGGCGAGGGAGCCGGACGAGGAGGAATGCGCATGGGTGGTGAAAGCAAGCGACCACGACGTGGGGGTTAGTCTGGTATCCGCGGAATGACCTGTACTGCATGATAATGTGTTTTCTATTTTTCATTGACTTTACTCTCCCACACACCCTCTATACTCAATTCTCCCACGCCCTCTTCCACATTCCCAACCTCTCTTTCCCCATCCTTTTCATTTGCGCACGCTCACTCACTCTCTCTCTCGTTCTCCCTCTCTTCCCCATTGAATTTACTCTGTATCTTGTGCACTGGATCCCATGCATTGTTGGACGGTGTTAGGACATTTTGATTGAACGCATCCATTGGCTGAGCTTGCTTGCTTGTGATAAACCCTGGGAGTGAATTGCATGTGTGTAACATACTTAGTCAGTAGTACCCACCAAGTACGAGCCGATTGATAATGAGATGAGGCCAGGCTGGCCAGTTGTATTGCAATTAATGTCCTGCACCGATTTGATGATTCTTCCTGAAGCAGCAATGGTTTCCACTGGCCGTGCATTTGAGTGACACGGGCCTGACCAGTTGACTGACCAGCAGCAAGGAGAATTTCCCTTTCGGTCGCGGGCTTTTGATGACATGAACAGGCAATCGGGCCGACATTCCGTTCCGCCCCCTCGCCGGTTAATCTTCGGCTTCGTCTTTCCTTCCTTCTTCCACACCAGTTGTGTCTCATCTTCATACTCAAGTACTATGTCCAAACAAACGCCCAGACGGTTCAACCTCCATCCCGGCCCTACCAACCGATCATCCGTCAACAGTGGTGGATCCTGCAACTGGGATCTCCCCTGCTCTGCTCTGTGCTGCTCTTGGAGGCGGGGAGCTTGTGTGCGACATCCGGCTTCTTCAATGCGACTGACTGACTCAGTCCCACCAGAAACAAGGACTATATCTAGACTCTCAATTCCTTTCCTGCCCGGTTAAATTATGACGGCATTCCTTCCCCCCCCCTCCCTCCGCCTATTCTCTTATCGTCTTATCGCTTTATCGCTTTATCCTTAAACCCACCTCCTCCCTGGACCATAGATCCCTTGCAATTCATCCTACCCTTCCTCTCTCTGGAGTGGTAAAACTCTCCACCATAAAACGAAAAACAACAAAAAGAGTATAGGACTTGTTTGAGGTATAAGCCCCGCAAAATGACTCGCTTAGACGTGGAGAAAACTCTGGAAGAGCTCACGCTCGGTGAGAAGGTGGCCCTCACAGCAGGTAAGTTACAACATCGACATGCTGTGTCCGATTAGGCGTTTGTGTGTGTGTGTCCCTAATTCGACTCTCTTCGTTGTCATAAGGCATTGACTTCTGGCACACTGCCTCTGTGCCCCGCTTGAATATCCCCTCCCTGCGCATGTCCGATGGCCCCAACGGCGTGCGGGGCACCCGCTTCTTCAACGGCGTTCCTGCCGCCTGCTTCCCGTGCGCAACGGCCCTCGGTGCGACCTGGGACACGGAGCTTCTGCACCAAGTAGGGCGGCTGATGGGCGAGGAGTCCATCGCCAAGGGATCGCACATCATTCTCGGTCCGACCATCAACATTCAGCGGTCCCCGCTGGGCGGTCGAGGCTTCGAGTCCTACGCCGAAGATGGAGTCCTGTCCGGGACGCTAGCGGGCCACTACTGTCGGGGTGTACAGGAGAAGGGTGTCGCGGCAACTCTGAAGCACTTCGTCTGCAACGACCAGGAGCACGAACGTTTGGCAGTCGACACGATCATCACGAACCGGGCGTTGAGAGAGGTCTACCTCCTGCCGTTCCAGCTGGCGATGCGCATTTGCCCGACAGCGTGCGTCATGACCGCGTATAACAAAGTCAATGGGACGCATGTGAGTGAGAACAAGGAGATCATCACAGACATCCTCCGGAAGGAGTGGGGATGGGATGGTCTGGTGATGAGTGATTGGTGAGGCGCGGTCCCCAGCATTTTTCTAAAAGAGGGCTCGGAAAGCTGATTCCTTGGATGCAGGTTCGGAACGTACAGCACCTCCGACGCGATTAATGCGGGCTTAGATCTCGAGATGCCGGGCAAGACACGCTGGCGTGGAACGGCCCTGGCACATGCCATCTCCTCGAACAAGGTTGCCGAGTTCGTCATGGATGAGCGAGTGCGCAATGTTCTCAACTTGGTCAATTGGGTCGACCCGCTCGGGATTCCCGAGCAAGCAGAGGAGAAGTCATTGAATCGACCGGAGGACCAGGCGCTTCTCCGTCGTACAGCAGCCGAGTCGGTCGTACTCATGAAGAACGAGGGGAATATCCTACCCTTGAAAAAGGAAAAGTCGATCCTCGTTATTGGGCCCAACGCAAAATTCGCAGCCTACTGCGGAGGTGGCTCTGCGTCGTTGGACCCGTACTACACGGTGACCCCGTTCGAGGGCGTCTCGGCTAAGAGTCAGGGCTCGGTGCAGTTCGCCCAGGGTGTCTACTCTCACAAGGAACTGCCCCTGCTGGGCCCGCTCCTCAAAACGGAGGATGGTCAGACCGGCTTCAAGTTCCGGGTGTACAACGAGCCCGCGTCCGAGGCGAACCGGACCCTGGTCGATGAGCTGCATTTGGTCTCGTCGAGCGGCTTCCTGATGGACTACGTTAACCCCAAGATCAAATCTTTCACCTTCTACGTCGACATGGAAGGCTACTTCACCCCGGAGGAGGATGGCGTCTACGACTTCGGCGTGACCGTCGTCGGCACCGGCAAGCTCTACGTGGACGGCGAGGTCGTCGTCGACAACACCAAGAATCAGCGCCAGGGCACCGCCTTCTTCGGCAACGCCACCGTCGAAGAGCGGGGCTCTAAGGCCCTGAAGGCCGGTCAGACGTACCGCATCCTCCTCGAGTTCGGCAGCGCCCCGACCTCCGACCTGGACATGCGCGGGGTCGTCATCTTCGGCCCCGGCGGGTTCCGCTTCGGCGCCTGCCGCCAAGTCACGCAGGAGGACCTCATCTCGCACGCGGTGGACCTGGCCGCGAGCGCCGAGCAGGTCGTCATCTTCGCGGGTCTGACCAGCGAGTGGGAGACCGAGGGCCACGACCGCGACCACATGGACCTGCCGCCCGGCAGCGACGAGATGATCACGCGCGTGCTGGCGGCGAACCCCAACGCCGTCGTCGTCATCCAGAGCGGCACGCCCGTCACCATGCCGTGGGTGCACCAGGCCAAGGGCCTGCTGCACGCCTGGTTCGGCGGCAACGAGTGCGGCAACGGCATCGCCGACGTCCTGTACGGCGACGTCAACCCGGCCGCCAAGCTGCCCGTCACCTTCCCCGTCCGCCTGCAGGACAACCCCAGCTTCCTGAACTTCCGGTCCGAGCGCGGCCGCGTCCTCTACGGCGAGGACGTCTACGTCGGCTACAAGTACTACGAGAAGGTCGACCTCGCCCCGCTCTTCCCCTTCGGCCACGGCCTGTCCTACACCACCTTCACCCGCCAGAACCTCCGCATCACCGCTTCCTCGGCCCCGGAACAGGCCCATCTCGCCGCCGCCGCCGCTGACGGCGAGCCCATCACCGCCACCGTCGCCGTCACCAACACCGGCGCCCTGCCCGGCGCCGAGATTGTCCAGCTGTGGGTCCTCCCGCCCCCGACGGGCGTCAACCGGCCCAAGCGTGAGCTCAAGGGCTTCGCCAAGGTGCACCTGCAGCCCGGCGAGACCAAGGAGGTCGAAATCACCGTCGAGAAGAAGCTGGCCACCAGCTGGTGGGACGAGCAGCGCGCCAAGTGGGCGTCGGAGAAGGGCGTCTACGAGGTGCACGTCACGGGCACCGGGGAGGGGGTCCTGAAGGGCGAGTTCACCGTCGAGAAGACTCGGTTCTGGCTGGGGCTGTAACCGAGGGACCGATCGGTTACGCACAGGGTACTTTCCTGTTAATCACAGGACTGTCGTCATTCCAAGGCTGCTCTCTCTCTATACCGGTTATAGTCGAAGTTTGATTATATGTTCCTACGAAATATGCTATGACTTGATGGATACCTTATGGATATACAATTTTTGTTTCTGGACTGGCGTCTCTGCCATGGACGTAGTATCACCTGCATAACGTAGTAGATATCCTTCCTAGCATACGTCGACCGTCTGCCGCGGCTCTAACATCATAAGTACGATCGTAGATTTCCTGGGGGTGACTCGACTCGCGAATATAAATACATTCCGAAAAACGTAACACGGACATACATACATGATACATTTCAGAGACACATTTCATGAATAGATTCTTCCAATTCAAACGTTACTGATTCATAGTAATTCATTCATGTGCCCTGATACGGCAGCACGCCCTCCAGACCCGACGACGTCCTCGAGAGGCTCTCTATTTCCTTTTCCCGGATACTTCCTCGTCCAGTCAGCCAACCCGCTAATCGCCTGAACAGCGTCGTAGGCGTCGGCCGCCGACTCTCCATCTCTATCTCAATGATCGAGTCATCGTCGTCGTCGTTGTCATATCGTCGGAACCGCCGTCTCAGCTTCCCCGATACGGACGCCGTGGAGTGGCTAAGCGCCGACCATGAGGTCTTTGGTCTCGATGCACTGGTCCCCGGTCGACGCGGGGGGACGGTGTGCGTTGGTTCCGGGAGACGGGGGAGGGTCGGTGTCGGAGTATCGTCGGGGCCACTGCCACTATCCATGGTCGTGGGAGCGGGGTCGTGGCTTCTACGCGTGCGTTCCGTCCCGTCGATCCCCGCGGTGGTGGGCGAAGAGGATGATGACGAAGAGGAGAGGAGAAGGATACTCCCCGTCTTCATCTTGGTCATCACCGCCTGCTGGAGGCCGAGGTCGCGCTCGAGCTCTTCGGCCGAGGTCATGATGTGGGCGTTGCCGTTCGTGTCGATTATCGTGGGGGGCTCGTCTTCTTCTCCTCCTCTTCCTGACAGGATCTCATCTGGAGGCAGGTGCAAGGGGTATGTTGGTGTGTATGTGGAATGTCGCTTGGTCTTGGAGGTGTCGTTTTCTTTTTCTTCTTCCTCGGTAGCGGCGATTTCTGCTTCGGTGATGAGGACGGATGTTGTTGTGGCAGCGGCAGCGTTGTAGAGCCTCGACTGTCGAACGGAAGTGGAATTCACAGATGAGAGGCCGAGGCTCGGGGTGCTGGTTGTTAGGAGAGGCATCGCCACGCCTCCGGGGCCGCCTACGCCGCCGACTCCCCCGGCAGACGAGGTGATATACTCCGCGGCAGTGTCGGCGTCGAGGAACACCTCGACGTCGGAGTCGTTGGTGGCGTCGGGGCTCTCATCTTGGGACGCGGTAGGATTGTGTTGTTGCTGATTCGGCACCGGGTCAGTCGGGGACAGGAAGGTGGCGGTGTCTTGGTCTCGTTGGCAGGGCTTCTTTTCGTCGCCTGTCGCGACAGCTGCTCCCCGCGTCAGGAACTGGTGGTGGATGTGCTGTTGTTGGTTGTGGTCGACGGACGAGGTCGGGCTCGTGTCTTCGCTGCTCGTCCCGTTGTTACTGCTGTCTGTGGGCGAGAGACTCGTCGGCACGGTTCGGTAGACTGTGTTTTCGGACTCCGTCGTGGTCGTGGTGGTCGTTGATACTGTGATTGGACTGATGATGACATCCTCTTCGCCCTCGGGTGCTGTGGGCGAGATCGGACTAACAATCATACTCTCCTCTCCCCGTCCTACAGCCGCAGTAGCTCCCACCTGCGACTTTCTAGATTTGAGAGAGTCCTCGCCGTAGCTCGTGGTATAATTTGAGTGCGAGGATCCCAGCTTGGACCGGTGCCCCTCTCTCATCGTCGCTATACTCGGCTGTTGTGTCAACCCGACCCCAGAATCATGTTTCTCACTTCCATCCCGCGCAAAGATGCCATTTCCGAATCGTCCAATCATCCCATTGCGAAGCTTCTTGGTGGTACTGGACAAGAGGTACTTCGCCTCAACCTGCGCGGCCGCGGCCGCACTGCTCCCTGAGAGGCTAGAGGTGGCGGCTATAGTGGAGATACGTTTCTTTCGGGCTGCAGCCGCTTCTTTGGCGCGATTGGGGCAGTAATTGGAGGAAATCCCTTGCTCAATGCGGTAAACGAGCAATGAGCAGGCGTAGCGGACCTGAGCTTCCAGATCCGAGGGAAGCTCTTGGCGGGTGCTCAGGAGATTGTCTTCGTCTTCTTCGGCTTCATTTCGGGCGATGGCATTCTCATTATGCTTTTGTGGGGAGAGGTCATAGTATCGTGGAGGTTGGTCATCAAGGCTGTCATCGTGAAGGGCGAAGGTGGGTTTCTGTGGCTATTCCTTTAGTATCATTTTATTGACGTTGGTGAACCGCAGAGCCATGCTTCTCGGATTTGAGGTGCCTCGGAAGATTATAGAGGGTAAGTTACACACTTTTGAACCGAAGAGGAACGAAAATGAGGTGCGTTTTTTCAACAGGAGGTCCTTGGTCAGGAAATCCATATTCACTGTTATGGCCTTCGGGAAGGTGAGATCGGAAAAGGGAAGAGACGTGGATCTATTGGCGCGGACCAGTACTGTATATGATATTCTAGGCTATCATTGATCCCAGATTCCCAGGAAGAGAAAAAGATTGTCTCACAAACGAGAGGGCTGAATAGTTTGCTCGCATGGGAATGACGATTGCGACCAGGGCTGATTCTGAACGTCTTGGTCCGCTGGGCAACGCAGTGCCCAAAAGAGCCGCCCAAAACAAACTCTCTTTCTCTCGCGATTCGGCCCAACTCAATGGGGTCAAAAATGAACCGAAAAGTTGTCCGGGCAGCTGAGAAGAGAAAATACGCAATGGGAATTGGAATGCGGGGGGTGGGGATGAATAGAAAACAGACAATGCCTCAAGTCCTCGGGAGCACAGCAAACAAGAAGTAGAAGAATGGGAGCCCACCCAGCCAGCCTACAAACAAGCCACCTCCCCCCCATCATCATGATGACAGAAGGGTCTCGGACTCGAAAGAGATATGAAGTGCCTGCTTGCTTGCATTGCACATTGCAGAGGACTGGACGAGTCTCATAGCCTTCCAACCTGCATTGCATTTCCCCGACGATCGATCCTGATTCGCAAGGAGAAGGGAGGCCCGCGGGAGCTGCGCGCCGCGCGCGCGCACAACGGCGGCGGCCACTCCAGGAGAACGAGCGGGGAAACAAGCTATTAGACTTTTGTTAGGGATGAAACGGCAGGTGAGAAAGCGTGATTGGCATAAAAGCAGGCGTAGAACGGTTACGGTCACAGAGGTCGAGTTGAACTCTGGCGACGCTCAGACTGTCTGTTGCGGTGGAGGGTGTTGGGGATTGTTTGTGTGTACCGTTTGGCCCCCCGGCATCTCTCTGGACCCCTGCTCGCCCCGAGATTGAACCCGCAGTGACTATCACTCTTCAATGCAGGGTACAGAGCACGGTCATTCGCTGCAGGGAGACGAGAGGGAGGATCCAGCCAAATCCAGATCGTCCTGTCGCGGGAGAGGGAGGGCAGCAGACGGGATGGGACTGTACCCTTGCTGGGAACAATGAGAGGTTTCCACACAATTGGGATTCTTCTGCTTCAGATATGTGTCTCGGTCTGAATCTCCAAGGACAGGACTGATATCATGGGCCATTGAAGCTTCACATTGCCCAGACGAACAGCGAGCGTCCAGACCATTGCAATTAAGCGTTCAACGTTCACGCTCCAAGCCTTGCAAGCTTGAATGAGTCACGGACCGAATTCCATTGCTTTTCCTGGCAAAAGTCCCTGGCAAGGGGCGCGGGATGATTAGACTTCTCAATTCGCCAGCCAGGAAAGGGATCAATCAAGGGAGGGAGGGGTGGACCCAGACTCCTCTCCCCGATCAGGGGAATGCAATCGGATCCATCATTCAGACGATTTCCCGTGATTTCCGACAGTCCTGTCTGATGAACAGGGGTATGGCTGAATTACCCAGGGTCGAAGCTTCAAAGCAGTCATGTGAAGGCAATGCCAGCGAGAGGGAGAGAGGGGAAGAAGTCAAAAAGACCCTGGATGTGATGGGTCTAGTATAGCAGATATCATGTGATATACCATCTCCCTTCCACTTCAGTATCGCAGTACCGGTAGTGCCTACCACCCTCACACCTTGACTACCATATAACTACAATCGACTTCCAAGCTTGACCATCACATCAACTAACCTCTAACCTCTAGCCTCAGAACTACAGACTCCGAATCAACCATCCCCCAACAGAGGAACCGACGAAAGACAAGCTCACCACACCCCCCCCCCCCAAATCCAACACCAATCCCCAAACACCAAAAAGACCTATCACATTCCCCTCCCTCCTCCCTCCTCCCTGAAAGCCAATCTCCACACGACAGAACCCACCGGTACGATTTACACTTCAGACACCTCTAACAGCAAGCTGGCCGACCGCCATGCATCAAACCCCCTCCCCTCCCCTCCCCTCCGCCTTTCCCTCCCTCCTTCTCTGTACGTACGGTAATCAGCAGCCCTGCGAAAGCCATGCAATATAACTAGTTACCGTTAATTAACTTGACCCTCCGCGCTCGTGGAATTCCCACCCACTCACCGGCCATTGCCTCGAACTTTCATGACGCCATTCGACGTCATCGCAATCACTGATTGATTTGTATCGGGGCACGCAGTGCCACACACACGCATTGAATCCCCGGATTACGCGGGGTCAGAAATCCGGATTCTCGTGCAGGGTGCAGAGGGATATTACGAGCCCCCGCCCCTCGGGCCCGGGGTGCGTTGGTTAGAGGGTTGTTCGTGCAGGGTGGGAGAGGGTCTGTTCGCGCTCTGCGTGCGGTGCATGCCTTTGGGGTAGAAGGTTTTTAAGGGATTTATGAGTAGACGAACGCATGGTAGGTTGGGTTGGGTTGCCTCATCTGTATACATGAGACCCATGGGTATGTCCGTGAGTATAGGAAGATGAAGACTACCGAGTAGGAGTACGGAAGCTATTATAGAAACTGGCTACAAGACAGAAAGAAGAGGGAACAAAAAAAAAAAAAAAAAAAAA